CCGTCTCTTACATGGTTCAGTTATGGTTCCATCTATCTTTGAACCATGAGCCGGCAATTTTAATACCGTAACCGATGGTTCGAGAATTGTGGTCAGGGCTAGACTTTTCTTATTAGACACCAAACCTTTGTACTTCAAATTCTTGAAAATTTCATTGCCATGTGTAACACTCAGTTTCAGAAAACGGTCAAAACTATAAGGACTGATAAAAGTTCTTAGTTTTGCAAGTGTGAATGTGAACTTCTCTTTTCTTTTTTTTTTTTTTAAATAAACAGGGAGAATAAGGAGGTATTCAGGTTCGATCTGACATAAAAAAACTTAAGGGGTATACCCAGAAGGTATATTTTTATGCCAGGCAGTGCCAGATGACATAATGCACCCAAGGGGTCTACCCAAGGGATGGACATAAATGCCATCTAGTTCCTTAGCCTCTCCTTTCGTCAATTTTATTACCATCTTGAATAAAGATCTCAGGACAGAGGATGGTCTGACCCCTTACTTTTACAAAGGCACCCTATTGTATAAGTTATTCTCTAATACGCAAATATGGATAAGACCTTTGGTCTAAAACCACAAGGCCTTTTGCATAGGGAGGCAACAAGCTAAAAGAATCGTATGTAGTGGAGATACCACTTGAAGACAACTTGGCTAGGCTGTCGGCAACCGAATTTGCTTCTCTATAAATATGAGTAATAGAGTACCCATTGCGATCAATAATCGAACATATTTCCATCAAATCCAGAAAAAATCTCCATGGAAAGTCGCCTTTTCTACCAATAGCTTCCGAAAATAACTTACTATCTGTTTGGATAACCACGTTTGGGAGCTGTAAGTTATCACACTTTCGCAATTCAAAGAGAATGCCACATAATTCAGCATATAAACTATCTCCTTCCCCCAAAAAGCCACATTCACCATAAAGGAAATGACCTCCTTCGCCGCGGATGACAAACCCATAACCCGCATCCCCAATAGAAGAGCCATCAGTATTCAAAATAAATGAATTTGAATCCGGCGGGATCCATCTCACCATTTTACAACTCCTTAGATTGGATCTAGGCAGCTTAACACCAAATACACTCGCAATGAACTCCTTCTCAACCTCACTACGTACTTTAAGATCATGCACCAATAGAAGATCGCGAACACTAGCTGAGATTGAATGCATTACATAATTAGAAGATGGCTTAGTACCTTCATAGATCATCTTGTTTCTCGCTTTCCAAACTTCCCAAAGGATGAAGGAGGGAATCAACATGATGGAAGATTTTTTGGCTGAAGTGAAGCTACCCTTAGACCACCATTTTCGTAACAAGTGCAGCAAGCTTGTATGACCATCGATATTGATACTCATGAGTGCCGCAAAATGAGCCCAAATTCCCTGAATAAATTCACAGCTATAGAAGCAATGGAGTAAATCATCCGAATGATTCCGACAAAATGAACACATTGAGGGTCTTACAGCTAATCCAAAGCGCGCAACAACATCAGGAAAAGGCAACAAGCCATTTCGCAACTTCCACAGGAAGAATGAAATTCGAGAAGGGACCAATTTGTTCCATATGTTTCGCAACAAGGGATCAGCATCATCAATCCGGTTACGAAGAACATCATAGGCCAACTTGACTGAGAATTGGCCCTGTGGATTATGCTGCCAAACAAAGAGATCAGTATCATCAGAAAAAACATAATCAAAGGATAGAAGAAAGTTTCGTATTTCTAAGGAGAGGATATCTCGCATTGCAGCAAGGTGATATGCCTTGTTAGCAAAGAACTCTCGGATTGACAAGTGTGGAGAAGGTAGCTGAACTTCACATAACTTGCTTAGGATTCCATAAGTTGACCAATTGTCGAACCAAAAAGATCTATCACCCCCTCGCAAGATGATCTTTGTATGCTCAATGAAGCTATCTTCCAATTTCATTACCCTGGACCATGAGGTTTTCTTTTTGGCCGAGTTAGAGAGGGACAAAGTGAAATGGCTCCATATGCCTTTCTTTTGCTTTACTTTCCACCAAAGCTTAGCAGTCAAGGCATCTATGTTATCATGAAAACTTCGAAACCCTAGCCCGTTCTCCGATGTAGGAAAAGTAAGCCTACTCCTTGCTCTCCAATGCCTTTTCTTTTCTTCAGTGGAGCCACTCCAAAGAAACTTCTGACAACGTTTCTCCATCTTTTGAATTATTGACATAGGGGGAGGAATGGCTGAGAATACATGAATTGGAATGGAAGACAAAACATGCTTGATAAGCATCAATTTGCCACCCGGAGACAACATCTTATTTTTCCAATCCAGCAACTTCGAGTCTAGGGCATCCAACAAGAACTGAAACATTGAAGAAGTTTTCCTCCCCTTGAAGAGCCGACAACCTAAGTAGGCAAAAGGAAAAGCTCCCTTATCCAGTCCCAAAGTTCCCTTGATCATTTCAACTCTCCTCGGATTACATTTCTCAGAAGCTACAAAAAAGCTTTTATGATGACTTACTTTTTGTCCAGAAGCAGCTTCATATTGATCAAAGAATTCATTGATTTTCTTTAAAGAACGTCGCAGCCCCCTTGTGAAAATGATCAAGTCATCTGCGAAGCACAAGTGTGAGACAACAAAGCCACCCACAGGTATGCCATATGATGCAATCTTCCCTCTAAGAGCCAAGGCTTTTAGTCTTCTAGTTAGAGCTTCGGATACAAGAATGAACAAGTAAGGTGAAAGTGGATCACCTTGCTTAATGCCGCGTGATGCTTGAAAGTACCCCACTGGACTTCCATTTACCAAAACTGAGAACCAGCTACCCTGAGATTGTTCAGAATCAAATTTACAAAGGCCTGAGGGAAACCGAATTTGAGTAGGACCAACTCAAGGAAACACCAAGAAACCCTATCGAAGGCTTTCATCATATCAACTTTAATAACCATATTACTGCCCACTGCTTTGTGATCAATAAATTGGCACAAGTCTTGAGCAAGTAAAACATTATCAATGATGTCTCGACCTTCCAAGAACGCCGATTGCTCTTCCGATATCATTCTTGGCAAGACGACTTTGAGCCTTTCCGTAATCACCTTAGTAAAGATCTTGTTCAGGAAATTACAAAGGCTAATGGGACGAAAGTCCACAAAAGGACAAACCATTGCCTTCTTAGGAATAAGGAAAATCAGAGTGCTAGTAATAGCTCTTGGAAGCGGAATGCCGAGCATAAATTCTTGGCATGCTTTCCAAAGATCACTTTCTATGATACTCCAACAACTCCTATAAAATACTCCACCAAAACCGTCCACCCCGGCACACTTTCCGGATTTAAATTAAACACCTCCTCTCGCACTTCTTCTAAGGAAATAGGCCGCAACAATTTTTCATGGTCTAATTGATCAAGAACTGTGGGAATATGCTGCAAGAATAGATCATGAAACTCATCGTTTTGGTTTGCATCCTCGGTTAGGAGCTCCTTAAAAAAGACTCCCGCCTCATCCTCAATTAAAGACGGTTCAGTAAGCATTACACCATCTCTAGACTGAATTTTGTATATTCCTTGCCACAATCTCCTTTCTTTTAAAGAAGCATGGAAGTAAGACGTATTACCATCGCCATCTTCCAGCCATTTCAACCTTGCTTTTTGCTTCCAGAAATCTTCATGTTCTCTGAGTTTTTGAAGTAGTGAAGCTTTGGCAAGCTGCAAGTTCATTCTTTCATGGACAGAACCAGAGCGATCATATAATCCTTCAAGATGCTGAACCTTGGATTCGGCCTCTTTCAAGTTGTCGAACACATTACGAAAAGTGTGCTTGTTCCACTCCTTCAAGCGCTGCTTCAATCTATGCAATTTGACCAAAAAAACCAAGCATTCCAAAGGCCTCAAGAGATTGCTCCCAATTTTCACTAACCACACTAAGGAAACCGTGCCTTCTAAGCCACATATTTTGGAACCGAAATAATCTAGGTTTGCTTTCACCTTGTCGCAGCAAACAGATGCAACATAGGGCTATGATCCAAAGTAGTTCGATTTAGGTTTTCAATAGATGAAACTGGAAATAAATCTTGCCACTCTTCTGAAAATAAAAGCCTGTCAAGTTTTTTACTCACCCACCCCATTTGGCGAGAGCCTCCCCATGTGAATTCCTTGCCAGCAGTCAGAATCTAAAGCAAACCACATGCATCAATACATTCATTAAAATCACTAATTGCGCCATGATCTTGCACTGAGTTGCCTGAGTATTCGTCTAATGAACGAATAACATTAAAATCTCCTCCAATCATCCATGGCACAGCCGGATAGTTCAACCGAAAGTTTGCCATGTTCTGCCCCAATGCCAACCTTGCTACCTTGGTGGATTTTGCACACATAGCCGACAGATAGAATCGACTAGGAATCAACAAATGTGATAGTTCAAAATGCATGACATGACCATGATCTTCTAACAAGGAAACAGTAAACTCTTTCTGACAAAGAACCAGATTTTATTGGAGTGAGAAGCGATAGCAACTTCAAAATTTAACTCCCGTCTTATTTCTTCCAAACTATGAGCCTGAACCATTGGTTCTAACACAATCAACAAAGTAACATTATGCCTTCTGAGTAGGGATCTCAAACGCCTTTGAGACACTTGATTTTTTATACCTCTAATATTCCAGATTATTTGTCTAATCATTGGAAAAAATGAATAAAAGAGAATCAGTTCAGACGGGAAGATCGTCGCGGAACCATGTCAAGCAGCAACTTAGCCTTTTCACTTTTTGATTTACGACCTCTTTTCTTAGGAACAGAAACATTCCCAGCCGCAAGTTCTGGAGTTTCAAGATCCAACTTGTCTCCCTCAGACCTTCGTTCATCATCACTGTTGGCATACTCATCCTCACTGTCCGCAAGCAGACTTCGAGAGCCTATATTGCTGTCATCCGAATGTTTATTTTCCAACTGTGTGGCATGCAGAATTGATACTAAGGCTAGGGTTTTACGCTTTTCGTGAGCTGAATTGTTCTCAAGCAATGGCTTCTCAACCAGGATTTATTCTACATTCTCCTCACTAAAGTCAGATTCATTTGTCACTTCATCTATGTCCGCAAGAACAGAGAATCGATTCCCTATAGGAGAAGCCTCAACCTGTGGAGCTTCAGTTAGCTGAGTTGCAGCCTGTTTAGAGACCCGATGTTTTCCTCTTCCTCAGTTACTTCTTTTGGAGGCGTAGAGTCGGGAATATCCATTGGGATCACTGTCTTCTCACTCGCTGAAAGACCCGAAGTTGCTTCCCCAGGGATCGACTTTCCGCAGAGGGGCGCGCCTAGGGTTTCCGCAGGCGATGAACCCACGCCTAGGGTTTCCGCAGGGAATGAACCCGTTTCTACTGCCTGGATGATTAACATATTAGCATTTATGATTTCAACCTCAACCTCTGGCTTTTCCTGAGGTTTTTTCAGTCCCAACTTCCGTTTTTGCTTGGCCATTCTGATTCCATTCTCCTTTTCATTCGGAGCATTTACCTCATTCACAACAATTTTTTGGGGAGCCGGCTTTCCAATACGGCAGTCCCTTTCCTTGTGCCCAATTTTGCTGCACTTTGGACAATACACAGGGGCGTGTCCTCTCTTCCCGATCTTCACTGATTTTGGTAATTCTTTCATTAGATCCACTTCAACACAAAACCTTGCCACCGATGGTCTTGTCATGTTCAAAGTGGGCGTATCTATCTTCAAGGGTTGTCCTATAGCTGTAGCCATTGAGAAGATGACCTCCGGGTGCATGTATTCAATTGGCAAGTCGCAGAGAGAAACCCAAATAGGGGCTACTGGTGGATCTTCTTCAAATCGGAAACTCGAAGTCCATTTTAAAATCTGCATTGAGTAACCCGCAATGTTCCAAAAAGTCTGAATCCAACATCTCTGGTAGTCTTCTTCCTCCTCAATTCGGGTCAAGACGTGTCGTGAATTCATAAGGCCTAGATTATAGCCACCATTGAATCCAATCTTCTTAAATTCGTTATGGACTTCCTCCATCTTAGGACGGCCATACGAAAATTTTCCCACCAAACTCAATCTGTGGGGCGCAACAAGTTTTTCAAATTCATCATCTTCATATTTCAAGGTTGGCGTTCCATTGATGAACATGACTGGCTTGATGAGCGAATCTTTGTTTGCAACCGATTCAGAAGCTCTATGGAAGAAGCTTGCAAAAGTTTTAGGTGGTTTATGGGGGCCACCGTTGGCTGATCGCCGACCATGGCAGCCAACGGGAAGACGTGGAGTCGTTGCGAAGGTTTGCTAGAGAGAGCCGATAAAAAAATGGATTATATAAAGTAGAACTGAAGTTCAATTCATAGAATTGTGAAAAAAAAATGCACACACAAATGCCAAAAAATAAGGTAATAAAAAATCACCTTTAATCTCTTGATTGAGATTCATCACTTGAATGGTGGGTATCCTCCTAGAAAATTTGGAAAAATTTCTTCTTCTCTACTTTTTCATCTTATTTATTGGTAAATTTAGGGGTATTTATTGGTGAATTAAGGGATACTGAACTTTTCTCATTCTCATTTCTTTTCAGTTTCAGAAACCAAAACAAAACTTATTAATTATTTTTGAATGGCTATAATTAAGTCATTAAATTAAAATTTTAATTCATAGATTTATAAGTTGTCAAAATTACCCTTTAGTATACTACAAAAGTTTTTTTCTTATTTATTGGTAAATTTATAGGGGTATTTATTGGTGAATTAAAGGATAATAAATTTTTCTCATTCTCAAATTTTTTTCATTTTCAGAAACCAAAACAAAACTAATGAATTAATTTTGAATAGCTATAATTAATTCGTTAAATTAAAAATTTAATTCATGGATTGATAAATTGCCAAAATTACCCTTTTAGTATACTACCAAAATTTTCCAAACTTTCTTTTTATATATGCATTAGATTAAGTGGAATGAGTTCCTTGATATAGCTGCTATCTTTAAGAGGTGAAACCAGAAAGTTGAAGGAGTTGAATAAGTTTTTTTAATGATTATGAAATCGCCTCTGGCCAACGAATGAACCGAAGCAAAAGCTTCTTCTTGATGGCGGATTCTTGTAGTGCGCACAGGATTGAAACAATTAAAAGGGTTTCGGCAATGTCAAAGGGTTCATTTCCATTCATGTATTTGGGCTGCAATTTATTTCATGGAAGAAGCAAGGCATCCTACTTTCAATTCCTTCAGGACTCTTTGGACTCAAATATATCAAGCTGGAAAAACAAGCTCCTAAGTCCGGGTGGGAGACTCGTTCTTTTCAGACATCTTGCTGCAATGCCTTTGCATGTATTGGTGGCAATTTCTCCTTCTAAATCAGTGTCGAAGTAGATGGAAAGAAGGTGCCAAAGGTTTCTATTGTAGGGCACGGGTGATGAAAAGCGAAGACATTGGAGAGCTTGGGATCGCTTGGCCGTTCCTACTTCGGAGAATTGATTAGGGTTGTGTAAATTCCAAGATGTGGTTCATGCCTTCTCTTGTAAGTTTTGGTGGAAATTTAAAATGTAAAATGGCTTATGGAGTAAGTTTTATAGCTTCTCTTTTGAATTCTGCAAATGATAAAACCACATGGAGCCGGATTATGAATGTTGACAATGAGGCAACGAATTGTTCGAAGGTGTTAGTAAAAGGGGGTGATAGATCCTTTTGGTTTGATAATTGGCTGGGGAGTTATTTGGAAGGATCCTAATACTAACCCTCCTTATCCAGAGCTTAGTATAAAGGATTTTTTTACTAATAAAGGCTTTTATTTGCATAGCTTGCAGGATGCATTAGCTCCGGAGGTGAAACGGTCATTGCGGCGATTTGATGAAACCCTTGTGGCAGATCGTGATTTGTTAATATGGCAATACTCTTCCACTGGCTCATTTTCTGTAAAATCTGCCTATTCATATTTAAGGAGAAGGGGATTTGAAGATCCTTTATCCTTGAATTTTTGGCATAAATTGATCCCCTTGCGTATATCCTTTTTTATGTGGAGGCTTCGAAATTGCTTAGTTCCCTTCCCGGAAATGTTGATCAAGATTGGGTTTCAGGTTAGACCATCTATTTGTCCTTTTTGCAAAAATCATGATGATTCGATGGTGCATTGGTTTTTTGAATGCTTAATGATTAAGGCAACCTAGAAACATTTTTCACATTCATTTGGAATAGCTTGGCGAGATGAAACTAGCTTGCTAGCTGTTTTGCAAAAATGGTGGAACCGAGGCACCTTTTCTACAGCCCTAAAACCGTTGATAAATATTTTTCCATCGCTTGTGCTTTGGGAGACATGGAAAATGAGGAATAAGATTTTATATGATGTGGAAACTTTCAGTAATGAAAAGTTGATCTTTGCTATCAAGGTGGAAATTCGGAATTTTTTATCCACGAATGATTTGAAGGTTCGAAATATGGTAGAACGTGATTTCCTTGAAAACATGTTTGGCTTTAGGTTGCAAAAAATGCAGGTGCGAAGTTGTATTTCAGTTCATTGGAAAGCCCCGGAAAATAGTGATTATGCACTAAATTCTGATGGCTCATCTATTGGATCAAACTCGGGATATGGCTTCTGTATAAGGAAGAATGATGGGAGCTTCATATATGGTGAAAGTGGTTACTTAGGAGAGGGGGATAGCTTTGGCGCTGAGGTATATGGAGTTCTTTTTGGAGCAAGGAGGTGCGAGCAACTTGGGTTTCAAAAAGTGGCAATCCAAACTGATAACAAGACTTTGGTTGATTTCTTGGCCAATATGAGGAGTTTACCATGGAGGTATCATCAGCAGTTGTTGGAGATACATCACATCATTGAAAGGCAAGCATATACAATTCAGCACATATTCAGAGAAGCAAATGCCATGGCAGACGGCCTATCTGGAGAAGCATCACTTGGCATTTCAACAAGATACAACATCATGATCGATTTACCTAGACATGTTAGGGGGATTGTTCTTTTAGATCGAGTTTGCTTTCCTTATATACGCTCTTGATGTAAATAGTTCTTGTATGCTGGTAAGTGTTAACCACTGCCAAGTTCTTAGATTGGAATATAATAAATAAGGGAGGGGTGGAACTAGGGAACTATATAGTATATATGTTCATCCCTTGGGTAGACCCCCTTAGGTGCATTATACTATATAGCACTGGCTAGCTTAAGAATTTACCTCTTGGGTACAAACCCTTGAGTTTTTTTGAGCTAGTTGGAACTTGAATAACATTCTGACCTCTCTGTTGAGGTAAAAAAAAAAAAATAGCTGCTATATTTAATAATAAAAGGGGATAAAAAAAACATAAATTCAGATCATTATTTCACTAGCTTATTCTAATACTATAATCTAAAACTTATTTATTTAATTATCAAACCAAAACAAACTTTCAAAAAAAATTTCACCAAATTCTTAACTTGACTTGTTGGTGATGTACTAACAAAAGTAAACAATTATATAAAGAGATTTTTTAAATTACAAAGATAAAGGGACTGTTTGAACAATTTTTTACTCTTTTTATAGAAAATATGAAAAGTGTACGGAAAAGATAAGCACTTGAAGTTACTAAAAGCTAGAAAATATTAGTTAATGTGTTGTGATGATCAAAATTTAACTACAAATAAAAAAAAAATGAAGAGCCTGGTAAAAACATTCATGAATTCAATTGGTAAAAAATTACTATCTTAAACAAATTGGGTTTGAGAAAAATAACATCGGGAGATAGGGAGAGTCATACCTACCCCTAAGGTTTAGGGTTGTATCTGTCGTAGAAATGCGTGCCAATTACCATCAATTTCAGAAATAAAAAGGCACAACTTAACTGCAATCACATGATTTTTTCTTAGATTTGTTTTTTCTACACAAATATAAATATCAATGTAAAAAAAGTACTTTTTAAAATGTACGGAGGTGCCTGGTTCAATGATTTAAATATGATAGAAACTGGGTTTGATATCTAGCATATGGGTTTAATATCTATCGATTTTTTTCGAGAAATAATCACTCCCATATATAGCGCTTGGTAAGGGAAGACTATGGAATGGAATTTTACAGAGAAATCTCATTTTTATGTCTAATTGAAATTATCAAAAAGCAAAACTGAACTAATCATATATTTCCCAAATTTGAAACTGCATAATCATCCATAGATTTTGGCCGACCACAACACAATAGCCATGATATCTTCCTGTTTCTGAATTTTTCTTTTTCTAGAACATTTAGAATGGGTTTTTGGAAGAAGATAGTGGTTATCTCATTCAAAATTGATGGAGTGGGTTGAAGCCAAAGAGTTAGAACAAGGTAGTGAGCCTACCGGATTGTTAGATCTAAGTCCTGCAACTGCATACGATGGTGGTGTTGTCGTGGTCAAAAAATCGAGTGGGGCAAGAGCATCACGATCAGAAAGCAAGAAATTGATTTTGACAAGTGCTTATCGTATAAGACGAATTTGACGGGGAAGACATGGTTTTATTGAAGGTTGTT